GAGATTATTTTTTAGATATTAAGCCCCTTTGTGTGATGCTAACTTGTTCATTTAAGAGAAAAAAATCATAAAACACTAGAGGTGGCATTAATCTTAATGAATCAGCTGTTCTTATGAGAGGTAGTGAAACAAAAACCAAAAAAATAATTTACCAAAATGTTTTTTGAAATGATTAAAATTAATTACAGCCTCTGGTGAGAGGTTAGCCCTAAGCTGAGGAGACTTGCATCTCCTCTCCTTACTCTGATCCAACTTACCAAGCATTTACTTTCAAACACCTTGTTCTATTTTACCTTCTGTTCCATAGGACAGGCCCATTTTCCCCAAGTTAACAGCCTGATGTTCCTCGAGGGTCCCTTCACTTCCTGTTCCACACCTCATGCTATTCCCTAGCAGTCTAAGATTCCTCTCAAGCATTGTTCTTCGTGCTAACTCCTCTGGCTAACTCCTCTTGCTCTCCAGTTGCTCACACTCATTTTCTCAACCATGAACTGACTCTGGGAAAGACAATTTGGAGCCAAAGAAGATAGGTGCTGGTGCCATGGCAAGCCCTCAGAGGAATTGTTTTTAGGACAGGTAAGCTCTTGCCTTCTCTGAAACCAACTTCTCTCCTTGCCAGTGAGAAAGGCCAACTATACGTCAGTAACCCAAACACTTGTTCAAAATTTCTTCCTGAGAAACCTTAGATCTGAGGCATACAATAGGGGAGGGGGAGGGAGAAGTTCCAAGCAGAGGAGGAAGAGCACAAGGGACTGTGGTGATGGTTCACAGGTACCTTGGTGGCGGGAGTATTATGGGGACTACACTTGAGGGGAGAAATCAAAAATTGTACAAAAATGAGCAACAATGTGAGGAAATAAAAAATAAATTAATAAATATAATTAAAATAATCCCTCCTGAGAAATCCAGAAGAGAGCTTGTGAACAAAACTGCTGAGAAACTTTTTCTTTCATACAAATAATTCTTTATAAGGGAAGAGGTGTTGAGGTTCATGTGAATACAATACGCTTACTGTTTCTGGTTGAGTATTTATGACAAATAATGCCTGTGCCATGCCTTGTTCCCATGTTACTTTTTTAATTCCAGGTACCTTTAATAATAGAGTTTTCTCTGACAACACACCTACGCTTAGCAGTTATGATCAAATTGCTATTAGTTGGGTGGGGATTCTTACAGAATTTTTGGTAAGCATTTACGTACATATTTATGTGCTTATGAAATGGATGATATTACTTGTTCTTCTTTTAAAATTTAAATCATAGCATAGTACACATCATTTTCTGTTTTTTTTTTCTTTTTTCCCTAAACATATATCTCAGAGACCATTCTATGTTCATAATTTAATAGGTATATCTACTATCTATATTATTCAAATATAGGTCTATTTTGGACATATAAATTATTTCCAACACTTAATGATCATAAGCAATTTTGTGGTTTACATCCTTGTTCTGGCCTCTTTGTTCTTACATGCAAGTTTTACTCTGGGTTTGTGAAGAGAATTGCTAAGTCATACAGCAAGCACTTTTCTTATTTTAACTGACACCTCAGAATCCACCCTTCCCCTCCCCCCCCCCCCCCCCTAACTATCTCAGAAATAGAGAGATATAGAGAGATGTCCTGGCTGTTCTTAGTACTTGACTCTTGGACAATGAGGGGGTTAGGAGTGCCAACCCCATGAGCAGTTGAAAATCTGTGTAACATTGACTCTTTAGAAACTTGACTAATAGCTGTCTGTTGATAGGAAGTCTTACCAAGAACATAAACAGTTACATATTTTCTGTGTTATATTTATAATATACTGTATTATTATAATGAAATAAGCTAGAGAAAAGAAAATCTTATTAAGAAACCATAAGGTGATCATCATAATGGTCTTCATCCTCATTGTCTTTGTTTTGAGTGAGATAAGAAGGAAGAGCAAGAGGAGGGGTTGAAAAGAACCCACATAAAAGTGAACCCTTGTAGTTCAAAACTATTATTCAAGGATCAACTATATTTAAAAAATTTGTAAGTGGTGACAAATTTGGGTTGCTCATGATATTAAACATAATGTGTTTATCTACCTGTTTTCTATAGTGTTGGCTGCAGATTTTTAAGGGTATGAGATTTCCTATTATTGCTAGTTTGCTAAGAGGTCTTCTTATTTCACATATATGGACATTGCAGTTTATTGAATGGTTCTTTTTTGTATCAGCTTCTGTGACTAAAAATATTTTTCACCTTTAAATTTTTGATGTAGGGCCTCCCTGGTGGCACAGCAGGTTGAGCACAGGGCTTTGAAGCTGTCCACAGCCTCTGCAGCATAGGTTCAATTCCTGGTCGGCCAGGGAGATATCCACATGGCGCGGCGGACTGCTTCTGTCTCGCCTGCTGCTCCCCTCAGCAGTGTTTTTGGTCAGTCTGACTGTTCTGCTCCCTGCTGTGTCTCTGGTGAATTCTCTCACCCTCCCGTGCCTCTGGCCTATACCCCAGTTCTTGTATAAATAAATAAATCTTAAAAAAATAAATTTTTGATGTAGCAATTATAGTGATATATTTTTTATGTTAAATCATCTTTTCATTCTTTGAATAAACTATAACTTGTCATAATATATTAATTTGTTTACATGTTTACATGTTGCTGTATTCAGTTTGCTAATATTTTATTCATGACTTTTAAATCTATGTTCATAATATTCTTTTCTTATGCAGCATTTGTCTGATTTTAATTCCTATGTAAGAAAAACCTTATAAAATGAAGTTTTGGCTAGTCTTTCTATTTTTTCCTATAATTTAGAATAATTATATAAGGTAAGTATTAATTTTTTTTATAGATTCTGTATATTCTGGGTAAGACTATTCAGGGCTGGTACTTATTATGATGAGTAGATATTTGTCTAATGATTCACTTTCTGAAAAAAGTCCAATCAGTTTTTCTATTGCTTGTCACTTTTGCTATTTTTATATTTTCCTTGCTAAGTATTTATTTCATCTAATTTAATTGACATGGAGTTGTTTATATTGTTTTCTTATGATTTTATGGTTTCATGTCTTCAACATTGCAGTTTATTTATTTACTAATTTTTAAACAAAATTATTTATGCATACGAGAACTGGGGTACAGGTGAGAGGTGCAGGGGGTGAGAGGATTCATCCAGAGACAAAGTGGGGAACAGAACAAGCAGACTGACTGAAAAACACTGCTTGGGGAGCAGTGGGTGAGACAGGAGAGGTCTGCTGCTGCCATGTGGGTAGCTCCCTGGCCGGGGATCAAACTCATGTTGCAGAGGCTGTGGATAGCTTCACAGTGCTGTGCTTTACTCCTTGCGCCACCAGGGAGGCCCTATAGTTGATTTATTTGTGCCATCTCTCTTTATGAATCTTCTTAGATCTGCCTATTGTATTTTGCTCCTTTTGAAAATATAAAATTTTATTTTTGCTTATAGTTTCTACTATTTTGCTTTTTGTTTCAGTAACTATTCCAAACCCTTATTTTGCCTATTCTATTACCTGTGTTTTATATATAAAAAATGCGTACTCTCTTAGTCCACTGCCTCTCTTTCATAATATTGACTTTCCCTGAATGATTGGAAATCATTGGTTGGGAGTTAGATTCTTCCTTGAGACTCACTCTTAGACTACCTATCAGTTCCTGCACCATTTGTAGACCACTGTTTGAAGAGAACCGTACCTATTGAACAGGTACAGTTTTCAGCTGAAGATCAGAATTTCTTATACCTCCAATACATGCTTTTTAATTTTAATGCTTGCAGTTTCACCATGGTGCCCTTAACTTACATAACTTAGACAGCGGTGACTTCTTGTATGGCTTTCCTGCATGACATAGAAATTAATTTTATGAAACAGAAAGAACCAGCAGTAGTAATGGGGAATGAGGTTGGGGGAGAAAGAATGGCAGTTTGTGATAATCTATAGATGAATTTTTTCTTGTGTCTTATCTCTATCCCCAGGTTGGCGGGGTGTATTACATAAGGGATTACTGACAGTCATTTAGAAATAAGACTTGTGACTAAAGTAGCTAATTAATCAGTGTTAGGAAAAAAAGTGCATTTAAGGAAAAATAATAGATATTGGTTAATGTAGAAATGTTCTATGTAAACTGATAAAATCTTTAGGGACAATTTGATGATCCATATCAAATCTTTAAATATGTGAACAGGTGTAGGGTCAGGATAGGCACTGAGCAGGTTTTCTATGATCCAAGCAGACGGGTAAAGGAGAGTCCTGGAGCCCTCAGTGGCTTTAACAGGCTTTTATTGAGCTTTACATGTAATGTGGCAAACAGGTACATGGCATGCAGGAGGCCACCTGGCCTCCAGGCCCCAAGCAAGTCTTCACTCTGGGCTTCTCTGGCTTCTTTCTCCCCTTCTCTCTCCCGCCTCTCTCCTGTTGCTTCTCCTGCATCTGCTTCTCTTGGTGACTATCTCAATACCTCTCCCAAACGGCCCACAGAAGTAAACACGACAGCTTGCAATAATGTAACAACTGCAGGTGCCCCATCAGGCAGGGCAACCCTAATGGTGCCAGGGCAGAAAAGCCTGAAAACCATTTACCCTACAATAAGCCAACCAGTAGTATATCTCAAAATTTACATAGGGAAATAATCAGATAAATGCTCAAAATCAAGTATCTGAAAATGTTTTTCTAAGAATTATAAACAAAGGTTAGTGAACCAAAATAGCTTAAAAACATCAAAGCAAGTTTTTTTGGTTTTTTTTTTTATCAGAGTTTTCTCAGGTATGGCCCTTGGAATTTAAATAACATTCAGAACTTTAAAAGGTTTTTATAAAATAAAAAGTTTAATGACTTATTTTGTTTTTAGACTGCATCATAAAATACTCCACATTTTAAATTTTACAATTTGAAATAGCCTGTTAAACGGTTGCAGAAATCTACAATTGCAATATTTTTTAATAACTTTTTAACTCTGTTTGATCCAGATCATTCACTTCCTCTCTCCTCCCCATGATTGGAAACACATGAAAGAATTTTCAGAAAGTAGTTTGGAAAACCGAATCTGAAAAAAATTAGTGTACGATCCACTCAGTAAATCTCTACTGACTGATGAGCAAAGAATTTAATGAGGTAAATTTATTTATTAACATAGAAAGTCTTAGTAATATAGTCGATCGTGTTACTAGTGACATGCTAAATATGTATTGCATGTATATTCATTATAGATGTATATGTATGTTATATGTAAGATATATTAGGTTAAGTGAAATAAAGCATATATAGCATGATATCATTATATAAAATATTATCTCCTTGTAATAAATTCATAGGGACATTCTGGAAGGATACATATTAAAAGGTTGAGGTGGTAAAGGAATTATGGTGAACTTACTTTATTTATTTTTACATTTATTATTTTTTGTTACTTTTTAAAATTTTTTGTGCAAGGGATATCTTTGTATCCAGAATAAAATATTTCCATTAAGAGAACTATGGAAATTCTGGAAGTAATTTTCTTTGGAAGTCCAAAATCTCATTTTGAAGAAAATTAAAAAAAATATTTTAAATGAGAGTAGCATTACTGGAATAATAGCATACGATATCATAATGTAAATAGACTGAATTTAAGGTAGACTATACTTATTTATATGTAAAATGTTGATTTGTTTTTAAAAGTTCAAATAGCACTATATTGATATTTTTTCCCTAAGCATCCTTATTAATTAATCCCCACATGATAAATTAATGGTGAATAGAAATTTGCATCACTCAAACATATATATCAATTTATTTTGGCTTTAGATCAAAGAAAAATTCTTCATGCTTAAATTAGTTAAATCATTCCATTAAAACTATTAAAATGCCATCATTAGTCTCACGTGCTTCCCCACTTGGTTAGTAAGTCTCAGAGAATTTGGTTTTGTTAAAAGTGCTTAACTGATGACTCTTGAGTGTAGTGAAGTGTGTTTTAGGCTTTCTCGCAGCTTTATACTTTGATCCTATCCTTCTGTTCTCTTAGCCAAATCCTTCTCTTCCTTTTGTATTCCCAAGGCTTATCCCATACAGGAATCCTTTGAAGTTAATGGCAAAAACAAGATTTGGATAACTTGGTTTTTGTACAAGTTTTGTTTTTAGACATTGACCCCCTCTGTCCAGATGATTTTTACTAGAGACCAGATGTCTTCTCAAGGCTCAGGTTGATATATATGTCCTTCAGCAAACAGCATTTGTGATTTCTAGTGATTTTCTGTGATAAAAGAACAGGGCGAAGGGATGTGTGTATATGTGTGTGTGTGTGTGTGTGTGTATGTTTGTATGCTTATGATGATATAATTTCCAAATGGGTTCTCCAAAAAGTTAACAGAGAAAAAGCTATCATAAATGTATGTGCTGCAAAATGAAAGACACACAGAACTGAGAATATTTTGTTAAGATTTTTATTGAGCTAAAAATGGAAATTCTTTTTCTTAGGAGGGGAGAAGGAAACTATTTACCATTGTTGATTACTTATTATTTTGTCTTTATTCTCAAGTAGTTTCATTTTAACACATAGAAAGTCAAGTATTTTATCATTTGTTTTTATGTGAGAAGTAGTAGTCATTAGTAACTTTGAGAAGACCTGAGCTTCAATATGAAATTTATATACATGGAATGTTTCAATTTATATACATCATTGTTTGAAATTTATACACATGGAAAAATGAAGATAATTGGATCTCATTGACTTGGAATCCCACCCATCCTATTCTAATAATTTTTTTCAGGTTGTCTTTTATTTATTTATTTATTTATTTATTTATAACAGAGGTAATATTGGTGTACCCCCATCAGTTATTACCACCATCCTGTACCCTCCACCAACTCACTCATATTCCACTCCCATAGACCATTAGGCTTCCTTGCCTCTTTGTTTTTCTCCCCCACTCCCACCATACATTTCCTTTCTTCCTATATTAGGATAAAAAATGCTTTCTTTAGTATGTTTTTGTTCATCATTAAAGATACCTCCTCCTTTTTAGGCTAATTGTATTGCTCTCCAGAAATCTTTGGACTACTTGTGATTTGGAAGTATGACTGACATTTGCTATAATATTTTTAAATGATGCTATGGATGGTTTGAGTGGGCAAACATTTATCTATTAAACACTTAAAATGTCCACAATTTACTTTAAAAGCTGTTATGACTCTATCCAATTTCTGAACAATTGTTACTTTCTGTTAATAGAAATTATAATAAAGATATGTATTAGTACTCTAAACTTAATATTTAGAATAATTTTTTTTTAAATTTTGCCAATAGAAGAGAAAGTTTCTCCAGTGAATAAACAGTAATTTTCTGCAAACTTGTAAGATTTTCTTTTGAGTAAGTTGGCTCATTTGTGGTAGTTACATCATTGCTATCTGATTATTTGCACAGGCAGTCTACATGTACACACACACACACAAAAGATTCTGTGTAAAACAGATACATAAATTACATCATATTCACGACTGATTTCTTTTCATTTTAGTCCAAGAGTAAATAATTATACTCTTTAAGGAAACTTAAAAATTAATCTCAAGTTAAAGAATTTTGGAGAGATAAAGGAAACTGTCAACAGTACTTACCTCTGTGGAGTGAAACTACAGGTTTTTTTTGGGTAAAAGGACTTTCATTTTTGATTTTTACTCTTGTGAACAGTTTGAAATTTTTACTATGATTCTATTTTATTGTTCTCATGAAATAAAAAGTGGTCCTAGTGTACTATTAAATTATTACAGAGAAGACATCACATGTATTACCCTTTATTAGCTTGCAAGAAACCAAATAAAATTAAATTTTCATTTTAGTAGTTGTCATTGGGGCAGGTTTTCAGATATCTGAGTATAAATAGAAGAAAGTTCTCTCATGAGGACATACATGGATTTCCTAACAAATGACTTCTGTCCCATTCCCATTTCAACACAAACAGTAGTAAAAGGTTCAGAGGCTGTCAGATAGTCTATACTTTATTCATTATAAGTGATATTATTGTTTAATACTTACACCTTTTTTTGGTATTATGCTATAGGGAAGAAAGATAATTTTTCCTCTGCCTTTCCAAGTTCTTTACTGAGATCCCTGTAATAAGAGACTGATAAACAAGATAAAAACAAATAGACATTTACTAACATGTACACCTCATGTATACATGGGCCCAGGAAAAATGAGTAACTCAAAGAGATGCCTTAGAATTCAGTCTTCAATACCATCTTACTAGGGAAAGGGAAAGGGGCGATGTAGGCCTCTGAAGGGATAGCAATTTGCTTATAGATAAATGAATCCTTCGGAGAGTACATGGATGCATGACAGTTTGTGATGGAATTTGTCTGGATATGGTACTGACTTATAGTCTCGTCCTGTAATAAGAGTGATTCTTCCCTGCTTGAGGAAATTCCCAGGGAGAAAATTTACAATTGAGTTCCTTTTTAGAGGATGTATCTTTGGACAGATACTGGGAAGCTAGAGAAACTCTCTTGTTGAAATGGCTATATTCTAGTGTCTACAGTTCAAACTAATCAATAGGCCAAGTGGCATATTTGGGGTGGCATATTCTGCTACCCTCACTGTCATAGAGAATAATGATAATTCCTTCACAATTAGATGTTTTAATATCCTATACTAGAAGCTACATTCAGAGATTAAAAAAAGAATTGTAGGTAAACTATAACTCTAGTTAAACAGACCAATATATCCTAAGGATTTTTTCCTATTGCTTCATGATAGCTTTCTTTGAGATGCAGGGATAGGTAAGATTTTTATCTGAAATATACCATATAGAATAATTTTTTTTTTTTATTAAATTTTTTTTTTTTTAAAGATTTATTTATTTATTTATTCATTCATTCATTCATTTAAGCACTGGGTACAGTAAGAAGAGCAGGAGGGTGAGAGAATTCACCAGGGCCAGAGCGGGGAGCAGAACAGGCAGAAGGACCGAAGTACACTGCTGAGGGGAGCAGCGGGCGACAGGAGAGGTCTGCGCGCCATGTGGGACCCTCCTCTGGTGGCCGGGGAGCAGCTGGGGATCGAACCGGCGCTGCAGAGGCTGCGGACAGCTTCGCAACCCAGCGCTCAACCGCTGCGCCACCGGGGAGGCCCTACCATATAGAATAATTTAATGACATAGAATATTTAATGATCACATAACTATATGTAAATAATATTTTGGTCACACCTCCTATCTGAAGGATACCTCCCTAGGTTGATTAATAAATAAACAGGTAAATATAAGAGACAATAATTAGAAAAAAATTCAAATATACCCAGCTCAAAAAAATCCTTCTATTATGAAAGAGATACTTCTGAAAGTATTTGCTATCCAATTGGGTATTTTTTAATGCACATGACACGATATTATCAATGTCCAACTTCAAAGTTAGAAAGTCATCAATGTGAGATCTACATTCACACTCAATTATAAAATCTCCAAAACAGAGGATGAATAGTATTTATAGAGAACATTTTCAGCGTGGGGTCAGTGCAATCACTGCTTAGACTCCAGGACCCAAAGAGCGACCTGCAGATGTCATGTTTGAATTTGATCTCCAACAAAGCCTGCATTGTTGTTCTCATCTTGGTATTCACATGACCACACCAGTCGCACAACGTGTTCTCCACCCAGGGCCTTTTTCTCCCCTGCAGCTACATCTGTGGTGAAGGAAAATGCTATGTGTCTGAATTTGTCTTTTTTGATATTGTCACAGCATTAAATGCAATAGCATGTCTTTTTGTGACAGGAGGCAATCTATTCAAAACCTTAAAGAAAAATGAAATGAGTATCTCTCAACTGGGGGACATGACCAGTTTTGTGAAAATGTTTTATGTCATGTGTATATATATTTTTAACTGATATTACAATTCAGAAATATTTCCTTGTGTATTTCTTCTCTTAGAAAGTACATGAGAAATAACTCATCTTTATTTATTTATTTATTTTTAGAGATTTATTTATTTATTTAAGAACTGGGTACAGTCAGAGGCACGGGAAGGTGAGAGGATTCACCAGAGCCAGAGCAGAGAGTAGAACAGGCAGAGTGACGAAGTACACTGCTGAGGGGAGCAGCGGGCCGTAGGAGAGGTCTGCGCACCATGTGGGATGCTAGCCCGTCGGCCGGGGATCGAACCGGCGCTGGAGAGGCTGTGGGCAGCCTCGCAACCCAGTGCTCAACTGCTGCGCCACCGGGGAGGCCCGAAATAACTCATTTTTAAACATTGCAGTTGTGCACAATCTGTATTTCATATTCGAATGAAAGGGAAGTAAACATGTTTCATTTGTTTTGGTTATGGTTTGGTTTAGTTATGGTTATTAAGATGCTATTGATAAACCTGATCGTTATCTCTCTGTACATTTTACATTTCTTTCTCCACATTAATATACATGAAGCTTGTCCATTGCAGATGGAGTTCAACCACCAACTCTGGACTTTCTCACTTTCTGAAGGCTGCTATTATCTTGAACTCATTGTGTTTTCTTCAGACCCTTTTATTCCAAATTTAAAGCTCATATTTGGAGTACCACAAAGCATCAAAAAGAGATCAGCTTGAGGTAAGTTTTCATAAGGTTGTTACCTACATTTAGATTTTACTTGGAATTATTTTTCTGAAACAATAAATATGTTTAAGTGTACTTGACCTTTGCCATTAAAACTATTTTCTTCAGGGGCCTTCCTGGTGGTGCAAGGGCTTAAGCTTCAGCACTATGAAGCAGTCCGCAGCTATTGCAGCAGGAGTTCGATCCCTGATCAGAGAGGTGACATACATGGCGCGGCAGAAACATTCAAATTTTCAAAAAATGGAGCTACAAAGTTTTATACCAAAAATTGAGTCTATAATTCAGTACTTAACTATACTTTTTGCTTTGTTTAAGGAAGAAGGTTGTTGCAATTGTAACTTGCAAGATTCTATCTCTTCTGAATAGGGTTTTGTTTTTTTTAAGATTTATTTATTTATGCACACAAGAGCTGGGGTACAGGTCAGAGCTGCAGGAGGGTGAGAGGATTCACCAGACACAGAGTAGGAAGCAGAACAGGTGGATCAACTGAAATACACTGCTGAGGGGAGCAGCGGGTGAGATAGGTCTGCTGCACCATGTGGGTAGCTCCCTGGCAGGCCAGGGATTGAACTTGTGCTACAGAGGCTTTGGATAGCTTCACAGTGCTATGCTTAACCCCCTGTGCCACCAGGGAGGTCCACAATATTGTAAAATAGTTTTTATCTCCTATTTGCAAATGACTAAACAGAGACTCTGGGGTGTTACATATATTCTATGTGTCACTCACCAAGCTAATTGACAGGACCATGCCTGAACCCCAGGCTTGTCTAGATGTAAAACTTGCTCTTTTCCTCTGACACATGCTGCTTCAATCTTGCAATTAAAAGTGCGGTCACTGTCAGCATTGGCAAGTGTCCTAATTTCTTTGTTGTGTTTTTCATCCCTGTTATTAGTCTCTTCATAGCCACCATCCTGTTTAGTTTGGTCTGCTCTGGCACTGCCCGCTATGTAGCAGGAAGAAATTTAGTTTTGTTTTTACTGGATAACGTGATCAGAAGGTGGGCCATGATGTCCACACAAGGTTTCAGATCCTGGATTTATATGGAAGGAACAAATGATCCATACAGCTTCTCCTCCAAATCTGTACTGCATAGATGGTGGTGACATAGAATTCCAGTCTCTTTCCTGTCTTTATTCTATGACTTATAAGAATTCCATCACAATCGCTATTCAATATTCCTTAAGAAAGAATGTGGCTGGGTCTAGAAGTGGATGACCAAGAGTTAAAAATGAAGACCCTTTCTGTGTGCAGCAGTGGTGGTTGGTTAGGTCGTTGGAGGCAGGTAGGTAGTGAAGCAGATAGTGGCATCTTTCTGATGGCTAAAGATTATGTACAAAACTGTAGTAGAGCAAATTTATGTACAAAACTGTAGTAGAGCAAATTTATGTTAAACATGCTCGAATTATTGCAAACTATAACCTTATTGCAATAGGTTTATCATGTGTAAATCTGAACTAAGTACGCACATATGATCAGTGAATATAACTAAGGGACATCATTGCAGTGACTGAAATAGTTTGAAGGAAGTAGAAGTGTTGGGTGAAAGATTTACAAACAATTTATTCCAAGAAAATGTTTCTAGTTCAATAAGTCAGTCAAAGAGCAAGTATGTATTGGGTTATTACTTTGAAAAGATTATTAGTTTATTGTGCTAAATTTGCATGTAGAAGAATCAACTAGGGAAAATATGCTTTTGGTGATCTACAGACTTATTTATTTATTAATTTTAAAGATTTATTTATTGATACAAGCACTGGGTACAGTCAGAAGCACGGGAGGGTGAGAGAATTCACCAGAGACAGAGCCGGGAGCAGAGCAGGCAGACAGACGGAGGACACTGCTGAGGGGAGCAGCGTGCACGGCAGGAGAGGTCTGTCGTGCCATGTGGGACCCTCCCCGGGGAACCGGCGCTGCAGAGGCTGCGGGCAGCTTCGCAGCCCAGCGCTCAACCGCTGCACCACCAGGGGAGGCCCCAGACTTCTTATTTAAATCTATGTGTGGTGCTGAAAAAAGTCACCTTATTTTTTTTAAGGAATTTCTAACTCCACATCTACAGTTCACGCAATCAACCTTGTGTGAGTTTGAATCCAGCTCTGCCACACGCAAGACGATCAGTTTAGGCATGTTAAAATTCCCCACATTGGTTTCCAGATCTGCAAAAGAACCATGGATAATATTATCTACTGCATAGGATTGTTTTGCAAATTAAATGAATATTCTAGGGCCTCCCCAGTGGCGCAGTGGTTGAGCGCTGGGTTGCGAAGCTGCCTGCAGCCTCTGCAGCGTCGGTTCGCTCCTTGGCTGCTCCCCGGCCACCAGAGGAGGGTCCCACGTGGCGCGCAGACCTCTCCTGTCGCCCGCTGCTCCCCTCAGCAGTGTACTTCAGTCCTTCTGCCTGCTCTGCTCCCCGCTCTGGCTCTGGTGAATTCTCGCACTCTTCCGCGCTCTGACTGTACCCAGTGCTTGTATAAATAAATAAATAAATCTTTTTAAAATATATATATTATAAATGAATATTCTATCTGAAGGGCATTAATCTCTATGTTATGTAATTAAGCCCTTCTAAATGAGTGGCTTTATCTCCCACTCTTAGTGCTATTTCTACTGTTCTCAAGACAAAGACCTGGGTATCACCTTATATTTATTTTTTTCTCTTAAGTCACCTTTGCCTCTCAGATGATTGTTTTGCTGGAGTCTTGCCAATGTTAGCTCCCGTGTCCTGTCTGGTAACTAGTCTATCATTTCTGTTTCCATTATTTCACGATGAAGTTTTCTGATACTCTCCTACTGGATTGCCCTGACAATAAAAATGTTGTAAATACTTTGACTATCTTCATGAGGGCAAGGGTTTATTTATTCATGTTTATAAACTTAATGCCTAACATATAGTTAACTAATGCACACGTGCATTCATGTGCAGACACACTCTTTTTTTTTTTAATCAATGAAAGAATGGAATTCTACTTACCATCTCTGAAATTACCTTTCAAAATGTAAAATTAATCGTATTACTCCTGGCTTACAATCTTTTGGTAGTTTCTCATTTCTCATTTGTATTAGTTGGGTTTCTCCAAAGAAATAGTGACACATAAAATTAACCACCACATCATAGCTCAGAGGATAATATCCAACTCTTGGCATGAAATTTAAGGCTTTCATGATTAATCTGTAATTTTTCTTTCTTTTTTTTTTTTTTAAAGGATTTGAATTTTTTTTTTTTTTTTTCTACAAGCACTGGGTACAGTCAGAAGCGCGGGAGGGTGAGAGAATTCACCAGAGCCAGAGCGGGGAGCAGAGCAGGCAGAAGGACCGAAGTACACTGCTGAGGGGAGCAGCGGGCGGCAGGAGAGGTCTGCGAACAATGTGGGACCCTCCTCTGGTGGCCGGGGAGCAGCCGGGGATTGAACCAGCGCTGCAGAGGCTGCGGGCAGCTTCGCAAACCAGCGCTCAACCGCTGCGCCACCTAATCTGAAAATTTTCAATCTTGTCTCCTCCCTTTGGAAATCACTCAAGTTGCCACTCAGGACGCCTGCATGCTCAGTCCTCCGAGCCACGGCACCTGATGTGTCCGCCACACCAAAAGTCCTTGTCCTCTTGCCATCTCTTTAGTCTTCCCAACTCTATTTTCTGCCTTTCTGAAGACTCACATGGTGTTTCTCATTCTACCCTCACTTGCAAGATTTTGGCCTCTACTAATTTGTGTCTCTGTGGTTAGCCGTAAACACTCATAGGGAATACCCAGTGCATGGCTGTGGGTGCTGAAGGGAGTCTCCCAGGCCTTCCCTGAAAGCAAAACTGTTCTTTAGTCATGTTTTTATTTGCATCTTTAGTAGAGGACATAGCAGGACTTGCTGTGTTGAATTTATTTATAAAATACAAATTTTTCTAATTCTAATTATTATTTCCTTTCAAAAATGTTTTTAGAACCCAGAGCACAATTCGAGTTGTTGACATTACAAGGAACCACCCATTCCAAACTCCATGGTGTCTGTCACTTAAATCTCCAGCAGATTCTACCTGATCACAGTCATCATCTCTGTGCCTAAAAAGACTAGAATGGGCTGGTCCTTCACAGAGAATATCTCAAGGGAATGAGGAGACTTAGGAGAAAAGGGGGATATGAATAATGAAATTGCCATTTTCAACAGTTTTTTTTTTTTAACTAATGTACTAGCAGCATGGTTTTAAAAAAGTTTTTAATTTATACAATTCAAACATTGATTTATTTAAGAACCACAGATGCAACTACCCAACATAATGATAATGAGCCTGTGAGAGCAGGAGATCACAGGGGAATTTTCCTATTTTAACAATAAGGAAACTGTATAAATATGCCATTTACTATTAATTTGCATATATATACACTCACACTGGAAATTGTAGTGAATCAAATCAACTGTGTTTAATATGTAGCGTAAGTGAATACTGTAAATGGAATCATTTGCTTAATCATTTCAGGCTTTATTCTTAAAAATTTTTGTGCTTTTTGAATCTGATATTTTTATACATTAGTGATGAGTGATTGATGCTGGCTTTCTATTCTCTCCAGAAAAGTATAAATCTAAAAAGACTATTTAAAGTTCCATTCCACTTAAAGATGAAAAACTTTTGTGACTTATTTAGAATTTATACTAAGGGGAATACAGCAAATATTTCTGTAACTATGATAGCTTTCTAAATGAAGTTTCTCTGCATCTTTCATTCTCTAAAATATGCTGAAGAGGCATGATAACAAATAGGGTTTTTTGTTGTTGTTTTTTGGTAACTGAAAATTAGAGCTGCATTTTCAAACAGGTATTCACACTGCAGGTGAAAAACAGAGAATTCACCCTATTTCCTTTGTCAAGGTTAAGCTTCGTAAAGCATAAGAAAATTGAAGAGAATTTTCCTCCCACAAATTACCTGCTCCTTCTAAGGTGATACCTGGTGATTCATTGTCTGTCATGCACATTTCTAGGGCTCTTAGTTAGTAGAGGCTATTTCCTAGGCTTTGTGGTAACTGTGAAAGCAGTCTCATTGCTCATATTTTAGGACACAGCACTGATTTGAAAGGGGCAGCGTTTGGCCTCATAAACATGGGACTTGGAGTAAGACAATGAGGTTCAAATTCAGGGTGAGTTATCTAACCTATCTAAGATTGTATTTCCTCAGCCTGAAAA